CCACAATGTCGGCCAATTTAGTTATGAGTAGGAAGACCCGGGGGTTAGCCCTAGGTACCGTATGCTGGCATGATATTCAGGACCGAGGTCCTATAGCGGGCAGGTACCCAAGGAATGGTCTGCATGATAGAGTATACTTGTTATCTGTGTGATACATGTGTGTGCCTGGTAGGGAGGTGAGGATGGGCGAGGTCCCGTATCTCACATATAGCAGAGTGTGGACAATGGTCCATATCTCATTAGCAGCAGATTAGGGGTGAGGCCTAAGATAGGCGAGTGTGGGCTGGGCCCGTATCTTACTATCAGTAGGAGTGTGGATGGGGTTCCATGACTCGTCAGTAGTAGGGGTAGGGGCAGGGCCCAAGATAGGTGAGGCCTTTAGAACAGGATACAGTAGTGTATGTTAGTTATGTGTTATGTCTTATATTACATGTTTGTATATGCTTAGCGGGCGAGGCCTAAGAGAAACAAATCTATACACCGAGCGGGGCTCGATGCCAAGCGGGGCCTGATACAGGAACAAGTCTGATGTCGGGCTAGTCCCAATGTAGCATGGGCAAGGCCCAGTATGTGATTATGTGTATGGTATGTAGTAGGTTAGGGAACTCACTAAGCTTCTAGCTTACGGTTTTCAGTTTTGGTTTCAAGTACTTCCCGTAATGGAGGGAAGAGCACGGGGTGATCGCATGGCATACACCATTGATTAGTCAGCCTAGGATGTTTTACTTTGATAATGGAAATATGTTTAGGAATTAACACTCTGATTTATGTTATGATTTTATTTATGGTTTGACAATTATGTTTTAAGTAATGTTTTAAAAAAGAAATTTTTAGTCATTATTTTGGGGTCATTACAACTTTAGGTATTTGAATGGTTGTCTGAGTGTTTGTTACTATTATTCATAAAAGTGACCAGTAGTGCGGGTTTCAAAGTAGTGTGTCATTTCAGTGTTTCGCCTGTCTGTTAGGTGAGTCTTCTTACCACCTTAAATGGGTTGAAGGCACCAAGGCCAACCCACTGTATTGTATGAGTAAAATTGTATGTCGTCGTATGATTTTGTATGATGTGATTGTATGATTTATATATTGAGCTACTCTGGGCTTGGAGTCATTTTGGAGTCAGGGTTGTTATAGACTCAGGGGTTGATTCGGACCCGACATAGCAATTTGATGTTATTTTGGGTTGATACGGACTCGGGGGTTGTTACGAACCTGACATTACCACATGTTGTTATATTATATGTATGTTGTATGTGGTATTTTGGGAAGTTCACTAAGCTTTATGCTTACAGTATGTTTATGGTTTCAGGTACTTCCAGTTCAAAAGGGAAGGGCTCGCGTGATGACACAAAAACCTTCCCATGTGATTTCCGCACTTGATATATTTATACTCTAATGTTTTGGAATACTTTAATGATTGATGATTTTTGGTACAATCCATGAATGAAATTAATAGTTTGTGAATGAAAATTTTTAGCATTATTTTTGGGTTGTTACATTGAGCATCACGATTTTCATAAGTTGTTTTTGGGAAATCGGAAGAAAAAGATGGTAACCAACTCGGTGCTTCTTTAATCAACTTGTATCAAAACTTCCTCTGAAATGATTCCTTGGAAACAAGTTAAAATGCAAAGACGATTTTTATAGACATCTTCACCAAGATCATCATCAAGATGAGTAATGAACACTCATTTTGCAATAATCTTTCTAAACACATCTTTACTCCATGCACGAATAGCAAAACCTTCAACATCCACCCAAACAAGTCTTTCAAAAGGAAAAAAAGTTTCTATCCCATTGTCTTTTTTCCACAAGCCAATGATTCAACTCAAAATTCGTAATTATTATTTATAATTTGTAACAAATTACTTACCTTGCTTAATTTCAATTCATTAAATATAATTTTTTTTTTCCATTTTGTTTCACTTTATTTTAAATTGTATTTTCCCTAACATAGACTAAATTATTCTAAAAACAAAAATAGTACATAAAAATACATATGCTCATATATATATATATATATATATATATATATATATATATATATATATATATATATATATATATATATATATATATATCAAAAAACATATATATATATATATATATATATATATATATATATATATATATATATATATATATATATATTTATCTATTTTAATAAACAAAACCTAATCATGTGACATTCCACTTTTAAACTTTTCTAGACTCATTTTTGATACGTATAATTTTTATAAAACTTTTTATTTTATTTTGTACTAAGATTAAAATTGGCTTCAAGATTTGAAATTCAAGATTTGAAATCTGATGTAATGATAAATCATATAATTTTGAATCTTTCTAATCTAATAAAGACTATGATATTAAGTATTTCATTTTTAACGTATCCTAAAAATCTTGTTCCTAAAAATCAAAAATAAATTACAAAATTTACTTTTTGAGATATAATCTTTTTTATATTTTATAATTTCTTTGTTAATACATAATTATATATTTTGTTTACCGTTGTGTAATTAAATAATATTTTATCCTCTTACATAAATATATTTGTTATCATCCGTGATTTTCAACGAGTTATAACCTAGTTCTTTTTATATAAGAAATCCCGATCATGCTTTAGGTATATGTTTTCTTGTAATTTTGAAGGAGAGAGATGAAAAAAACCGAGTTTCGTACACTGATTGTTGGAAATAAGTGCAAAGAAGAGAAAAAACCAATAATCCATCTTCTATAACCAAAATCCTCGTTCGAGATCTTTAGAAACAACCATTCGTTTCGTTTCTATCCTTTTTACATTCCTATTATTTTCTCATTTATTAAACACTATAACACAATCTCAGGCTGGAGGGAGTGGTGTCGTCCTCCCTAATGAAATCGCAGTGACACGTAGGCGTCACCTCACACATTACCACAAAAATGTGGTCACATACCACACCTAAAGAGTGGTGTGACACTTTGGGTTTTTTTTTTTTTTTTTAATTAAATGTAAACTATACTTTTACGAAAAACCATTTATTTCATGACTTGAAAAGTAGCATTTTCTTAAAAGTAGTCATGTATCAGACGCTGGTTTGCATCTTCACGATTTCTAAACATATATCTCTATGTTCTCTGTTCAACACTAACAGATGCCCGACTGCATGTCGCTTCATACGTTTGTTCCGCAAATATAGCAGTTGCGATAAAAACATCGTACATAACATCAAACTCTTCTAAAGAATCGGACAAAGACATTTTTTTGATTTTTTTTGAAACATAATGTAGCAAATAAGTATAAAAAATGTGAAGGGTTGAATGGTTTAAATAGATGTTAAAGTTTAAAATAAAAAAACACTAATTTTTTTGACCGTTTGCAACATTCAAATGAGCCTAGCCACTCAAATTCACTCCCTCCAAAAGCCACAGTGCTCCTTAGGCCACACCTGGACCGCACCTAGGGGGCGGTGTTCGTGGCTTATGTGGCATAGAGAGTTCGGTCACTATCCTTCACCAATCTGTTTCCCTTGGATGATTTAAAATTTCCGATCCATGACAAATAGGGAAGTAATCTTCTATGGTATTGTTATTAGATCTTGTTTACGTATCATCATAGTTATGTTCTTCAATCTCCTAGCAAGATATTAAACATTATCAATTTAGATTTGCTTCCTTTATTTCCATATTTAATTTTACATGCCTGAAATTGGGTTTTAGAGGGTGGATCCCTTTAGAGCCGGTAGAGGCTATAACACCCTTATTTTTTTTACCTTTTAATACTAAAAAAATACAAATTAACTTAATAGTTTAGGTAAATACTAATGTTTGGCCCTCATTATTTTCAAAAGGATAAGAAGAAAAGAACAAGTATTCATTATAGCAGTACATTTATTAAAATTTAAAATTACTAATCAAAGAATTAGATGTATTTGCCCTCATAAATTTGAAAAAAAAAAATAAAATAGTAAACTACAATCATTTAAAGTTAACCAGATAATATAGGAAGAAAAGTAGGAGAAGAAAAGTTATAGAAAATAGAAAAGATTATATTTCTAAAAGTTCACAAAGTAAAGAAATAATCTTCAAAAAGTTAAAACAAAACTAAATGAGATACAATGAGAAAGAATCCGTTTCCACGAGAGAAACAATGATAGCAGCCGGAGAACACCGATGCTGGTCTATCCCACCCTTCTTGTCGCCTTGACTCAACCATCCATAGCCGCTGTAGCAGGCATGTATTCTTCCTCTTCTTCATTTGCGGAAATATTTGTATTGCTTTTGAGGATTAGACTTTTGTTTTCATTATGTTTATATTCTTTTTAGAATACCCAATGTAAAGTGACTAGACTAGAGTTCCCGTGAGTCTCTGAGCTTAGGCATTAGGATCTATTATGACTTGTCTTACACCCTTATATTTTTTTCATAATGGTTTTTGTAATAATAGTAAAATAGTTCACCTATTATGCAGCGTACAACTAAAGTAAATTGATTTCATTTGTTTCTTATTATATATTTTCTCTAAGTATTATTTTGTATGTTATTTGTCTTTCATTTAATTAGTTTTTAATAAAAACTTTTGTTATTAGTGTAATACTTTATTCAATTGTAAATTAGTTGTGTTCTTTTTATAATTTATATTAATAAAGTTATATGTATTGATTCATATTAGTATATAACCAGGCTTGTTATTAGAATGCTAGATATATAGATATATGTTTAGTTTTGTATTTAGAATATTTGTTTTGAAACAAATAGGTAGGAGGATAATCGGTTTGCGATATATATATATATATATATATATACACACACACACACATAAGGATTCGGCCCATTTACTATTGTTTGTGTTCCGCCCCTCGTTTTACTAACAGTTTTCACAACGTTAATCAGACTTCGCCAAGATTATTTTGAGGTCATTAACCAACCAAGGAATAAAGGAAATATGTCTTGTTATGATCTCATGAGACATGATCTACGATTAAGTTGTTTGCTTAATAGAAAACCAAGACTTCAAGCATCCTTCATTTATATGAAATTTCATAATACAAATAGTAAGCATTATGAAATTTCTAATATACATTCAAGCATGCTTCACTTATATGAAACATTTTCGTCAATACATGTAGCTAATGCTAGTCTATTGACTATTTCAAATAACCTGTAGGATCCTTAACGTCAACATGTTCATCATGCATGTGGCTTCTCATTCTAAGAAATTTAAACGAAGAGATTGCCTGAACTGGTTCATTGGTTTCTCGAATAAAACTGTAACACATCACCGCTGATAACGTCCCTGTTATAGGGCCAACAATATACACCCAAATACTCTTATAAACATTACTAGCTATTGCTGGTCCAATAGTGCGTACAGGGTTCATTGATCCTCCTGATACCGGTCTGAAAATAAATATTTATCAGTTTATATTAAGCTCTTAGAAGACTATTAAGTTGCTATAACCACACTTTAGATTGTTAACTTTTACCCTGCTAAGATAGAAGTAATGCACACTGATGATCCTACCGCTATACCTGCTAACTCTCCTACCTGTAAATATTTTTAGAAGAAAGTACTTGTTTACTTGACAAACTATTAACTTTTTCTTAAAGAGAATTTTACTTTTTATATCATTCTTACGGCTTTAGAATCAGTGGCTACGGCTGATGTAACAAACATCATTGTGAATGTTACAATGATTTCCATGATTAGAGCTTGTAAATCTGACCCTGAAGGTGTTGTTGTACCCAAATGCCTTATTGGCTGGAATATTACCTTTAGGGAAAATGAAGCTGATATTGATCCTATCAGTTGTGCTCCTGCATAGAAAGGAACCTACATAGACACAATAATTCGTAGGTAATTGTGAAGATATTTGTGATTCACATCTTATAATTATAAATAATTAAAATATTTATTAAAAAGTTATGAAATAATTTTTGATAAAACAATAACATCCATACTATATAACATTGCATTGATATAGAATAATTAGACAAGCTAATGTAAATTGAAATATAATTGAACTTTGTGTAAACATCATGTATTATTGGATTAATAAAAGAAAAAGTTAAATATGAGAATGTAAATAATAAGTATTTTTTAAAATTAAATTTTGAAATAAAGAATGATGAAACATATTAAATACAATTTACTATCACATTTAATATTTTATATATATAAATATAAATATTATGTGATTTTTTAATTTTAAATATAGAAGAAAACCAAAATTTGACATGTAGATATTAGTTATTTTAAAAATAAAAATGTGAACTCTTGAAAGATCAATCATGTATCAAAATCGATCGTTATTATAATTATTATCACTAGTTGTGAGATCCATGTAATGCATGGGTTAATTAAAAAAAATTAAATATAAAAGTCAAATAATATAAGAATTTTGAACTTATATGTAAATAAGAAAAAATAATGAATTATTATAATGAAAATGTTTTTTTAATTTAAATAAAAAAGAAACTAATGAGCTTTAATTTTAGAAAATTTGAAATTAAAATGTAACTTTATTAATAAATTAATATCAATTTGTTAGTACATTTATTACAATTATTATATTAAAATATTATATGAAATTTAATAGAACAGAAAAACTCATAAAATCATATTTGGAATAAAAATTATATCAAAATTACCATAAAATAATATTTTGCGAATTAAATAAGAATATAACAAACGAGATATATATATATATATATATATATATATATATATATATATATATATTAAAGAGGATATTTAAAATATTTGATTTCCATAAATGGCAACCATGTTGGTAGGCCCTCATGGCCCAAATTAGGACATCCGGTACCTGGGTTTTTTCATGACATGTGCCTACATCTTTATCAAATAATCTAGATATATCTATCATAACTGTGCAATAAATAATGTAGCATATAATTATCTATATACTTATGTATATACGGTAGATACCTGATTCCAAGGGAACTGTCTAACGGTTGCAAAAGCTATAGTGACTGCCGGGTTCATATGTGCACCAGAAATATGCCCGACCGCATAAATCATAACGGTCACAATGAGGCCACCGGCAAGTGAAGCACCGAGATGAGACACCATATGTTCATTGGTTCCACTAAGCGCCGCCGCTCCACATGTAACAAACACCAATAAGAAGGTGGCCACCACCTCCGCCACCACCTAGAAAAACATAGTCACACCACCATAAGTAACATACAATAAAAAACTAAAACCGGATGAAAAACCCTAGAAAGGTTATATATTTTGTAAAACTGGGAAACATCGAGCTCAAAATATAGTTAGTGTTCTGTGATTTTTTTTTTTTGAACAGCAAGTTAATATATAGGTAAGCCCCTCTATGACATGGTTCATCATTTTTTGTGAGGGCAAGTATTATTCAGAATTTTAATATGTAAATAATAAAATTACGTATATGGTTTCTACTAAAAATTAAGATGATAAACTTGTCTTTACATCGGTCTTCCATTATATTTTACTATATTTTTTGAGTTAAGTACTTATCTTTTTTTTTTTCTTTTTTTTTTAAACTTCATCAACTTGGTTGTAAAAACTAAAAAACACAAAAACTTCAAAGAAAAACGGAAATACAAAAAAAAAAAATGAAGGAAACCAATACAACCTGAAGATTATAATCTTTTGTTTCAAATGTAGAAAACAAATTTCTTTTTGCTCGGTTTTAGTTTTAGTTAAAAACTGAACTTAACTGAATTATGCAAACCCATATATAAACTCTAAGAAACAATTAAAATTTTTCTCGGGGAGGATTGTATTAATTAATTTTTGGTTTTTTAACTACAAAAACAGGAAGAGGGGGCATGAAACTTGGATCATGGTAGTAGGAATCCACATGATGGAATTGGTATATTACCTTTCGGATAAAACCAGGAGGGTAATAACCATGAAACATCGAACTAACTTTGAGTTCCTGGTTTTCTGATGCTTCCATGGTGATGGATAACTCGTCTGTGTCACCACTTGAATGTTCTTTCGACATGTTTTCACCCTTATACGTAGAAAACAAGGTTAAGAAAACTTTAACTAGAAAATAACAGATGTTTCCGACATCTTCTCAATTGACTAAGATTTTGCTGTATACATATAATCTACAATTAACTCATTAAATACATATAAGATTCCAACATATAGAATTATTAGAGCAAAATATCTTATGCACGTTGGTACTATTTGAATTCCATTAGAACCTAAAAGCGAGAACATATATGTGTATGACAAATGAATGATTGACATTGTTTAAGTGACATGCTAAACAATGTTTTCTTTTACAAAGTAAAACAATCACTTTACACCAAGCAAAATATATGTGGTTTATGGTAACATCAAATGGTCAATCGACAATTAAATAATGCCTGTATAATGTAGAAAAGGGTTTCATATGTTAATGGTGTGGGCAAAAATTGGTATCAAGAAAGCTTATCAAGTTCAAATCCATCCAAATCCAATTATGTAAACCAAAACGGGAGATTGGAAAAATCAACATTTAATGTGTTTTGCATAAATTAAAAAAAGTACCATAAAGTTTGGTGAAGAAAAGTATGCGTTGATATTATTTGGGTAATTTGAACATAAATTTTTAATATATTAATTTTTTTTATTGAAAACATCTCTTAAGATGCACTTTTTAAGACCATATATTTTTAGTTTGTAAAAAATAATGAATACGATCACAGATCACTTAAAATACAAAATGACTTATGGGACATGGGTAATTGGTCTTTAATTTGTTTGGTAATCAAGTTTTATATTCAATTATAATTATAGATCTATAATCTTTAAAATTTGATTTTAAAATAGTTTTTCTAAAAAGAAAATGAACAAAAGAATATAATAGGATTCTTTTAGTTGTTGTTATCCATATCACTTTCTTTATTACTATTTTTGTGGATCTAGGAAATCAAATTTATTTTATTTATATTACAAAACTACAAAAATAATGGCATGTATTTTTTTATGGAAAAATATCAAAACGACTAAATTTTTGGATTGTTGGTCTTTTCACTAAGTTTGTTTGTGTCTTTGGTCATCGTCTAAACTTAACCATTCTTATTATTTTTAAGATTTTTTAAAATATCTTTAAAATATATAATAAATATTAAAATTTAAAAGGAAATGAACTCCTCTCTCTCTCTCTCTCTCTCTCTCTCTCTCTCTCTCTCTCTCTCTCCAACAAAATGAATTATCTCCAACATTGGGCCCTTGGGGCCATATTGGGCCAATTGGGATTACTTTGTTTTGTGCTAAAAGACTTATTATAAATTATGAAAAGGCCCATCTAAAGGGTTGGGCTCAATTTTCCGACCTTTAGGGAGTCTTGATGGGTCATTGGTTCGTTGGATTTAATGTGCTAGAGTGGGGTCTTTTGAATGTTCTCAAATTGGGCCAAGGGGTAAAATGGTCATTTTACCCTAAATAATGTTATGGACTCTGATTTAGTATTAATATGTTCATGATAGTTGGGACTCATCGGATCAGCTGCTAGAGACCACTTCCTGCGAGCTTAGACACATAGTATCAAGAGGTGAGTTACCTTCCGTCAAAAGTGGGTCGAAGGCCACAATGCCGACCCACTAGTAAGAGCTCTTAATAGATAATTGTCTATGTGATAATTATTTGGTATGCCACTATCTGTTCTATTATATGTGCTAGTATGTTATGTTTTTATGTGGTAGTGGTAGGGATATAATAGTCTCTGGTATCCGGTTAAAATAGATCGAAGGTGAGGCCAACACCCAGATATGCTAGGCAACTATCTTGTTGAAATAGAATAAAGGGGAGGCCAACACCTAGATATGATAGGCAACTATCCGGTTGAAATAGACCGAAGGGGAGGCCAGCACCAAGATATACTAGGCAACTATCCGGTTTAAATAGACCGAAGGAGAGGTCGACACCCAGATATACCTGGTTAAATATGTTGTTGTATGTGTGTGGTATGATGGGGGAAGTGTAACACCCCGAGTTTAGAAGTGCAAGTTCAGGGTTCTTAGTGTGGATAAGGAAGGTCGACTTAGCGAGTCGATGGGTAGACTCGGTGAGTCGAGTCGCGGTTCTGGTCACGTATTAAGTGACCAACTCGACGAGTCGGCGGCTGGACTCAACAAGTTGGTGCTGAAGGGAGAAAACCTTAATCCGGGGGTTATGCCCTATATAAAGCACATTATAGCCACCCTTAGCCTCTTTACAGCCCATTTGAGTTCCAAAAACCCTAATTAGTGTGTGTGAGCCTCCATTGTTAAAGTTTGAGCTTGGAAGAAGAATTTAAGAGGAGAAGTTAGAAGAGAAAGAGGCTAGCATCGGGGGATCATTGTAGATCCGGAATCTACTCCTTGGGCACATTTCTGAGGTAACAAGTCGTTACCTTGAGTTTTCTCCTTCTTGATCTATTCTTGGTTGTTGTTTTGGGAATTTTAGCTTGATTGGAATCCATTTCAGGTTTAGAGGTTAGATCTGAAGTTGCAACTTCGGATCTAGGTTAATAGTGAGCCATGAAAGCTTAAAGCGTCAGTCTTGGGGCTTGATTTAGAGTATCTTTGTCCCAAAACCTCCTTGTAGCTTGATTGGAGCTTGTTGAGCCTTGCATGCACGTAAAGTTGGAAACTTTACGTGTGAATCTGGCCCTAGGAGTCCAGATCTATGTATTGGAAGCAATGGAATGACCTTTGATCGTTTGAATGAAGATGTCACATGTGGACTCAGCGAGTTGGAAACACAACTCGACGAATCTGTTGAAGATTGCCTTGGACTCGACGAGTCTGGTCGTGAAGTCCTAAACTTTTCTGGCTGAGCTTTTGAATCGGTGAGTCGAGGGATGACTCGGTGAGTTAAGAAGGAAGGGACTCAGAGCTTGTTGGACTCGACGAGTCTTGGGGCGAATCGGCGAGTTGAGTCATGACATGGGAGTTTCTGAGCATAGGAATTCGACGAGTCAACGGGTTGACTCAGCGAGTAGGGTCAACCAGGAAGGTAGACTTTGACGGAGGACTTTAACTTGGACCAAGGGTTGACCTGTTTGACTTCCAAGGGTATTTTGGTAATTATTGGTGTTTATTGGCTTTGGTTATTTGGTAATGACCAGTGGTGGAGTTCGTGCTGGTGGTCAGAGCAGCGTGGTCTTATTTCTTCAAGTCGGCAGTTGCAGGTGAGTTATCCTCACTATATCGACAGGGTCTAAGGCACCAAGGCCGGCCCTTTATCGAATTGAAATTTGGGTATCTGTTTGATATGTTATTGCTTACTATGTCTGTATCCTGGTATATATATGATAATGCTATGTTAGAGACCTGGTTAAGGTCAGTATCCTGGTTAGGATGTTGCTACGATATGTGATCTGCTAGATCGGTATTATTAGATGTGAACTGTTATATGATTATATGTTTATGTACACATGGTTGTTTGGACTGAGGTTGGGTTGAGGCGGGTCCTGCTTTGTGTTGTACGCCAACATACCCAGGGCGGACCGGTTAGACCGAAGGCCCGACGAGTGGTCCGGATAGGCTGAAGGCCCCAAGAGGGTGGACCAGACGTGCCGAGGCTCAGAGAGTGGACCAGACAGACTGAAGGCCCGGTGCGGGAAAACCAGTCATACTGTAGACTCAGAGAGTGGACCAGGTGGACTGAAGGCCTGGTGCAGGCGGACCAGTCACACTGTAGACTCGATATGCATGGCTGTTCTATTTATGATATGATATGTTATGTGTATGGTATTGTGGTTGGTATTGTAACTCACTAAGCTTTCATACTTACAGCTTCAGTGTATTGTTTCAGGTACTTCAGGAGACCATGGCAAGACAAAGGGGTGACTGTACGCTCCTCATGTTTTATGACTTATGTGATATGGTCCTAGGAAATACTCTGATGTTTAAACTATATTGAAAACAAATGTATGAACTTAATGGTTTTGAATGGATTAAAATGTTTTAATTTGGCTCGAATTTTATGGTCGTTACATGTTGGTATCAGAGCCTTGGTTTGAGTGAATTGGAGGAACATTTGTGTGAATGCAGTCTCAAATCAAGGAGAGATTTTCTGTAAGTCCCCAGTCTGCCTTTGTATGAATCAGATCCGTTTGTTGGTGCGGAATACCAATCAAACGGATGATGTTAGATCAAATAGAAGAGAATAAGAAGAAGAATATGATGAATCTCAATGAATTAAAGAATAGAATGATGATCCGGATACAAGAGATTCATACACACACTAACATATAATAGTTCTTCTCTCTCGAGTCTATGTCTCATACGTTCATCAATCTCTACTCCTCACCCCTAACACCTATATATACACAAGGGGAATATGGGCTAACTGAACATGGGCCGTAAACACAGCCGTAAACACCAAATTGTTTACGGTCCAAGACACAAAAATACATATTTCTAGAAAAGTAAAGTATAAACCATCTTTTTGACCCAAAAATCTCCCCCTTGGTTTATAACTTTTTTTTTCTTAATTGACCCAACAAGCTCCCCCTAAAAAGTAGCTGGCTTTTCTTGTTAATCTTCATTGGGAGATTGGCTTCAACATTTATCTTCAATTTTTTCACAACTTCAAGATGTACTTGATGAATCCTCAATGAATCACTTCATCTTGAGCACTTGAGCTTTTCTTCAAGATTTGACTCTGAATGCACATTAGGTGAGGAGGCTTCTTGTACTGATTCTTGAAAGATGGCACTTTCAGCTTGAGAATCTTCAGAGAGAACATCAGAGAGAAATAATTTTCTGGATCAATTCAGCAGGTACAACGATAGCAGCAGACTAATTGAGGAGGCTTCAATGCGATCCGTCAGATAATCTTCAAGAACAACTTCACCTTGCTATTGGGGTTGAAGGATTGAATGTTGAAAGAATAATCTTCATTTCTTGCTCCTTCGAATGAGAATTCTTCGATGATCTCGGATGAAGCCTTGACTTAGAAATCTTCGACACAAGCTCCATGAGTTTTATCTTCACATGGATTCACTTTTCAAGACAAAACTAAACTAAAAGAAAATTTAGCACACAATATTTTTGGGTTTTTCATATTTCCTAAACAAAAAATAAAACAGAAACAACACTATTTTTGATTTTGAATTTTCTGATTTTTTTTTGTTTTTTTTTAATTCTCCGCCTTTTATTTAAATCAGAAGAACACTATGAACAAACTTAATAAAAATAAAATGATATC